TGTATATTGCGACGAAGGGTTCTAAAAACCAACTCCTGCGTGACGCGGCCGGGAGGGTCCCGCGCTGCCCCCGTGCGGTGCCGGACCGATGCGCCCGACAGGTGGCGCCGTTGCCGGGGATAACGGAAAGCCTACCGTTGTTACTGGTGGAACGACATCCGGGTATGAGAAGTGAATAAGAAAAGGCATAAAGGAGTGATGAGAAGGTAATGAAGGAATATATGAATGACTAAGTGTRGGTGAGGAAATTTACCTACCCAAGTAGAGGAAGTATGAGGGACGATCGTGTTAACATTGGGTAAAGTAAGTACTAAGGGTTAGATAGGACGGATGAAATAGACCGGTCAAGATATAGTGTTGAATAAAGGGGATGTGCTTGTTTTCTTTTGCCAGGGAACTTAAAAGAAGAGGCTGTCAAGATGCCTTAGACTGGCGGCGCATCAGTTGCTCCCAAGAAGGGCCTGACACTCGATGACCTCATCGCGGCCATCGAACGACATGAAAGGAACCCGAGCAACATCCCAAAGGTCGATACTTTCCATTTCTGTAGGGAGAGGGTCTTAGAATGGTTAGAGCGGGTGGAACAAGCTTTGGTCGGGCGGCCGGATGTTGTAAAGTTTCAACGCATCCTTCAGTATGTCCTCCACAGCTACCATCAGGAGGTGAAGAAAGTCATAGATGCGGCTCAAGGTAGCTGGGAGAGGTTCAAGGAGGGGATGCAGAGGAAATACCGCCGGGGAGACGGGTTGTTGACTACCACGATCCTTGAAGACATGAACAAAGAGGATTTTACGACTATAGGGGCCTTTGTTCAAGAATTTAAGAAGAGGGCGCGAAAGGTCCATGGGATTTCGGAGGAAGCACAGTGCGCCATCTTCCTAGGGCTACTCACAGCATCGGAGACCGTCGAGTTGACGAGACATGGAGGAGGTAGCACTAAGCTCACCTGGGCCACCATTGACAGAGGGGTGGAAGTTGGGTGCTTGGACCAGGTGGAACAACGTCAGGTACGCCTGCAAAGGCAGAAGAGAAAGGAAAGAGATGCGACCGCTTCTGGGACCCCGGGAGTAACAAGGATTGTTACAGACGTATTGGCACAACTAGGGTATGCGACAGAGCCGGTGGTGCAAAGGAGGGTGGTGACGGCTGTCAGAGTAAAAGAAAAAGAGCCAGTGATAGAGAAGGCTGGTCAGGAGGAGCTCTGGGAAGAGGAAGAGCCGGTGTCGCAGCACCTGACGAAGGTCCAGCGCAAAGTGCGTAATTTGGCGCAGGGCGAACAGGGATCAGGAAAATAGCAGGCGCCTCAAACCCAGGCAGCAACCCCTTTAAATGTGGCGGCTCCATCATCTAGTACGGGCCCCTCGCAAGGTGGGGTGCCCTCCTATGGACAGTGGCCCTGGCCGGTGATCAACGCAATTGTGCCATGGGGAAGCACGCCGCCAGTAGCCGGACCGCAAACGAGTATGCCACCACCCATCTACCCC